AGTGGAAAATTTCACTCTCCGACAGATACAAATATTATTACACACAAAAAAGGCAAAATCTTGTAAGGCTCCTATTAATATGAATCGTGTCCTGGAAATCTTTTACAAACACCTCTTACGGCTGTGAAAGTTGCCGTCTAAATCATAGGGAGGGAGTTGGGACCCTCCTCTACAAATTGCATCACCCGATAGCGTTTTTTAGAACAAATTAGAACTTATCTAAACCTAAACAACCTTTTCCCAATCAATGGAGGGGTGGTGTGGTCGAGCGTTACATATTTAATCGGTGACGTCAAAATCAAAACAACAACAAACAAATGTGTGGGGTGAGAGGGGGGGGGGAATGTTGTGGCAAACAAAAACTAGGTCAACAAACGTGCTATCATACTTTATTTAAAAGTTTTTTTTTCTATTTACTTAACAGTTACTTAAAAGCAATTTACATAGCCACGGTGTCACTATAGGGTTGGTGTTACCCGGTGCGGTAAACTGATGATGTCACCAATGTTCCCTCTAAGGTGTGTTGGTTCGTGTGCAAAATCATACAGTTGTGTGCAAAGTTTTACAGCTTTAATTTTTTTTGTGTGCAAAACTTTACAGCCCACAAACACTCACTTATAGGGAAATTTTCTGCGCGGTACTCAAAACTGCTGCGCGGCGTCTGTGAGATAGCTGCGCGGCCACGCAACCGCGCAGCTTATAGGGAACATTGGATGTCACTCCCATATTTATCGGACCCCTCCCCCATACCTGCAGCGAGTAATTCTTTGCCAGACCATGCAGAACAGCTTAAAGTATTATTGGTAAATTTTGAGTCATAGAGCAACAAAATACATACAAGGAAAACATAGAATTGGTATAAGAGGGCGTTTAAAAAATTCAGGAAAAAAACACCTTTTTTTAGACAAACTTTACTTTCCTGGTCGTCTTTCTAAGATACAAACAGTTTCATAAAAATAAAATTAAAAAATCACCTCTGTTTACCTTAACGAAATCGCAAGACCAGAAAGCCTAGACTTATCCATGGTAAATTACAAATAGTTCTTTATAAGTTTCCGTTTTGAAATGCTCCTCTCACAGGAAGCCATAGACTGTCAGATTATGATAAATAATGATTTGTGGTTCAATGAGAGGATTGGGAAATACTCTATTAAATTTTCATTAATGTATTTCCATTTGTGAGGTGTCTACCCGGTGCGCCCCCACATTCCCCGCACAGTGACGCCATTGTACATAGCTACGCTATAACTCATACCTGATACTTTAAAAAAATGAAACAAAACACGCAGGATGACGATTTGTAATAGAAAAACAACACAAATTACGGAAAGAATTGTCATTAATAGCTCTCATGACTTATTTTTAAAAAAAACAAGCTTTAAACCTTTTATTTATACCCGCAGAGTTTAGATTTGTGATCCACTTTAAAGACAATATCCTGACCTTAGCGTCTTGTGTTAATGCACTTGATCTTGTTCGTAACCTTTCACATTGTTCATTGATTTACCACTTTACACTTTCGTTATAGGGCCGTACTGTGTAGACTGATTATCCATCCTCGAGGTTAACTTAACTCCATATCGCAGTCTCGGACACCATGCTGACGTATCGACAGTGGTTGATCCTCTGTGCGGCGGCGGTGGCCATCATGTCGATGCTGTTGCTCGCCCAAGCCAAATCTTTGACGGAGACAAGACACATTTGGAGAAGAGACCCCCCTTGTACTGTAAGTTTAGTTTGATCTTTGTGTGTGTCCTGGAGAGTGTTTGTGTCCTGGTTTGTGTAGTGGTAAATGCGTGTGTCTTGTTGTGGGTCTTGGTTTCCGTGTCCCCTGGTGTTCGTCTTAGTGATTGTGTGTGTCCTGATATTTTTCTTTTGAGTCATGTGCCCTGAAGTGTGTTTGTTAGTGCGTGTGTGTATCTAGAAATTTTATATTAAATCTAAGTGTCCCCCCGAACATGCAAAACTGTTAATAGCTATTCAATATCCTATAAATTCTACACATTGACTTGTCCTACGTGTCCTACATGTCCTACAGGTTTGGTGGCCATGTCTTCCCGGAGAGGTCTCGGAGTGCTGCCCCAACACTGACTGTAAGTTAGAAGTGATCGATGGGTGTGTGTTAACATAACCGAGACGAAAATTATATAGTTATTTAAAACTGATAATGTGTTAAAACTTGCTATTTCAATGTACATAGAAGTAATATGATCTGATGTTTCACAGTTCCATTTATTGGGAAGTAAGAGTTCTGGTAGAAGTGATTACACAATTCGTCAAAGAAAGAAGCGAAGCGTGACATGCCCTGACACGCCTATTGGGGACATACAATATTTCGTTTTATTGTAACGAATTGCGTCATTAAAACGTTTTAATCCCATATTCCTATTTTATGCTGTTTCTTTGTTTGTTGTTGTTGTTGTTGTTGTTGTTGTGGGTTTGGCTGTTTTTGTTTTGAATAAAAGCGTTTGTGAAGAAATGCCACTAGTTGAGTTCTGCGAGATTTCTTTTTAACCAAGAAAGGAAATGAAAATAAATTTTAATATAAAACTCTTCTATTTTGTTTACTTATGCACAAAATTAGATGAAGAGAATGCGTCATCTCCTGTATCGTAGTTTTATTAGTTATAGACGCTCGGGGAATGCTACTATTTTTATCAAATTTTACTGTAAAGAAATTTTCAGAATGTAACGTTTAATGAATTTCTCTCCCTTAACAACGACCAATTTTCCAAACGTATCGAAAACTGATAACGTTTCATGTTGTCCTCCGTAAGATTTAAAGCTCTAAAATATCAGATGATTAATATGATTTTTTCCCCTGAATATGTTACGAGATTTTTCAGGTCATATTTTGCCTTCATATTCATGCACACAATTCTCATGAAGCAGCTGTTGTAAAGTTTAAGTTAAAATTTTCACACAAAGTTTACATTGTCCTGACTCACCCAATGGAAAAAAAAATTAAAGACCCAATTAATCTTATCCGTGTTTTACACACAACTTTTTTTAAAAAATTTGCTATTGACTTTTATTGAATAACATCATACACTATATGGGTGGTGCATTTGTTTTTATTTTATTCCAACAGGTAGCCATGATAACAATATACGAATTTGATAAAAAAAAAGGCGATGTCTATAATTACAATTATAATAGCATATTACAAAAATATCATGGTGTTAACAGACATATCATACACCAGTTTGTATAACTTACACAATCGTGTATAAGATTGCAATTTGAACAGAAGACACCAACTTGTACCTCAGACACCAACTTGTACAACAGACACCAACGTATACAAAATACGCCAACTGGTACAGCAGACAACAACGTGTACAAAATACACCAACTTGTACAGCAGACACCAATGTGTATAAAATACACCAACTTGTACAGCAGACACCAACTTCTAAAGCAGACAATAACTGGTACAGCAGACACCTAACAATTGCGGGGGCCCTATGCGAAACGAATGGCGCGGGGCCCAGTCTGGGTAGGGATAAGGATAATAAGTGAAAATTAAGATTTTGTATTAGAAAAAAAAGTACGAGCCCTCTGCGGCCTCATAGGTTGCAGTGGCCTAAGGCCGGCCCTGCCAACTTGTACCTCAGAAGCCAACTTCTACAAAAGATATCAACTTGTACACCACAAGCCAAACTCTTATAACGCGAACACTACGATAACCAACAACAACTTAAGTTTATTGCAAGTACACTAAGTTGTTAAGTTTATTGCATGTAGACTAAGTTTTTAAGTTGATTGCAAGTACACTAAGTTGTTAAGTTTATTGCAAGTACACTAAGTTGTTAAGTTTATTGCATGAAGACTAAGTTGTTAAGTTTATTGCATGTACACTAAGTTGTTAAGTTTATTGCATGAAGACTAAGTTGTTAAGTTTATTGCAAGTACACTAAGTTGTTAAGTTTATTGCAAGTACACTAAGTTGTTAAGTTTATTGCATGAAGACTAAGTTGTTAAGTTTATTGCATGAAGACTAAGTTGTTAAGTTTATTGCAAGTACACTAAGTTGTTAAGTTTATTGCAAGTACACTAAGTTGTTAAGTTTATTGCATGAAGACTAAGTTGTTAAGTTTATTGCATGAAGACTAAGTTGTTAAGTTTATTGCATGAAGACTAAGTTGTTAAGTTTATTGCAAGTACACTAAGTTGTTAAGTTTATTGCATGAAGACTAAGTTGTTAAGTTTATTGCAAGTACACTAAGTTGTTAAGTTTATTGCATGAAGACTAAGTTGTTAAGTTTATTGCATGAAGACTAAGTTGTTAAGTTTATTGCATGTACACTAAGTTGTTAAGGTTTTTTTTTTTTGGTTTTTTTTTTTTTTGCACGTTCACTGAGATGTTCAGGATATAGTGTGTGTTGGAGCTCTACTTTTCCAGGCTCGCAGAATGTTCCATGTAACACATTTCGAAGTCTTATACACGATCTATAAAATATTGGCAGTCTTTCAAGGTAAGTTAAAATTAAAATATGCTGTTACAGTCGTTGAGCACTTCTCTTGGCGTCGAGAAATGAGCGCACGTTGTTTGAGGAAGGGCTTACTTGGTGCAAGGAGGGGTAGCAAGACAGGCTTGGACACGTGCAAGATAGTGTCTGGCAGAGGCTCGTCGGTCGCACGTGTGAGGCGGCACCACAGTGGGACGTCAAGACAGCCGCCGAAGGCGGTGCCTTCGAGACTTGCTGGAAGGCACTGCTGTTGGCTAATAGAGAAGAGCCGTGATGACATAATGGAGATACATGAGACGATATGGAGGTGGGGGGCTGTAGGTGGGGGTGAAGATGAGACGGAGCGTACGGAAACAATAAATTCGTGTTTATGCTTGAAGAGACTCCAAAGTGCGTAAGCGGGGCGACGTTGTGATGATGTGCGGGTAAATAAGATGGAGCGTGAGCAACAGCTGCGGGCGTGGGCTGAGAAGAAGCCCCACTTCTCTGTAGATCCTCCAAAAGCTGCTTCATCTCAGCAACGGACCTACTCAGCATCTGAATGTAGTTCTTCGCCAAGGTCAGGGTAGCGATTTTGCTCAGCTTGCGAACAGATGGCCCCGTTGCGTAAGGCATAACTTCGCGGAGCGAGTCCATCGCCGTGTTGAGATCGTGCATTCGTTTCCGTTCTCTGCTGTTGATTTTTGAGCGTAAATCTCGCAGCTCTTCCCGGGAAAATTCGCGTGAATCCATTTTGCGCTGAGTCCTGTCTGAAATCTCGTAGTATCTGTTGAAAAGGTCCTCGCGATCAGTGCTTGACTTTGAACTGATGCCGTCGTCGTCGTTGATAAATGTCCCGATGCCGTGGACGTCACAGTCAGCTTTGATGTCGTCATCCGTGACGTCAATGTTTTCATTATCTGTGGTGACGGAAGAGGAAGGAGACATCGAAGGAGGACAGAACTGGTTGGACATTCTTGATACACACCTAGAAAGGGATTTCGAAAAAAAAAAAGTTTAATAAGTGATATATTTTCAACATTTAAGGTTTTTATAAGGTCTTCAATACCAGCTTCAAGTATAAGATTTTGGATCATTACTTTGAATTACGGTAACTGATTTTGCTATATATATCTATGGCAGGTTAATACTAGACAAATTGGGGAAAGCTTTCAAATCATCTTCCAGAATTTGCGATCAAATAATAAAAAAATTATAACAAAATATTGAAATATTCTTGTTTAAAAACACCAATTACTTCAAATTACTAAGTGTTATTTAACTTATTCTCGTTGTTCCTTCGATACCGTACCCTTTCTTATAAACCTGGGATAAAGTAGTCGTTCTTAGCAAACTGCGATACAGTAGTCGTTCTTAGCAAACTGCCATACAATACTAGTTCCTAACAGCCTTCGATACAGTAATCGTTCTTATCAACCTTCAATACAGTAGTCGTTCTTAGCAAACTGCCATACAGTACTCGTTCTTAGCAACCTGCGATACAGTTCTCGTTCCTAACAGCGTGCGATACAGTAATAGTTCTTATCAACCTTCAATACAGTATTCGTTCTTAACAAATTGCGATGCAGTACTCGTTCGTAGTATCTGCGATACAGTACTCGTTCTTAGCAACCTGTAGTTCTTAGCAATCTTCATAGATAAACACTTGAATAAGCAATTTAAAGTGCATTTTACATTTATGTTAACACAATCATAGGAAAAGGAACTAAGTGTTCGATATTAATAATTATTAAACAATAAACAGTAGGACCAACGTAGGCCATGACCACAAATTTCCAACAAATTAAAAATATTTTCAAAGATTCGGGAGTTTGTATAACAGAAAATTTATCAAAATAACTTGGACTGTTCCACTGTATCATACTGAAATGAACGTGAACACGACTGTCAAACATTTAAAATATTTACCAAGTAGTAGTAGGCTACTCAAGACTACAATTTCAAGACTTTGCAACGCAGCTCACCTACCTGACGGGTCGCAGTGAGTTACAGTAATCCTTATTATACCGAAGTATCACTTCGTGCAAAGTAACATCTCAAATCAATTAAAATCACCAGGATTGTGTCATTTTGGAGATGTGGACTTCGTATCGTTATCTAATTTTTTTGGGGGGTATCAAAACAGTAGTTTGAAAATAAATTTTAATCCACGACATTAACGGGAAGATGGACGTGCCCCATACAAGCACGCGAACCTCGACTGCTACAGCATCTCACACTGACCACCGGCTTTTAAATGTCGAGCGCTGCCTTGTTTCCATTCGGCCATTGTTGGACAACGGTTGGCCGGACTAATGGGCTCAGGCGTCGTTAACAAATCTTTTCAAAGACTCAGGGGGCGTGTCCGACGATTTCTAACCTCTGAGTTGGGACATCTTCGCCACCGTCTGGCCCCGAGGACCAGGCAGGAAGCGGGTTAATAAACGAAGTCCTGAATGACCGTGGTAATCACTATCCCGCCCTTTAGCCTTAATGAAAAATTTCGAGTTGTGGCGTCACAAAAGTCTTACACTTATTAAAGTCAGACTCACAGGCAGACGACGGAAAGAAAGTAAGACAGACAGAAAACAGAAAGAAAGACAGACACACAGACACAACAAGCAGGTAACATTGATAATGTGCAACAAGAAGGTAACATTGATAATATACAACATGAAAGTAACATTGATAATGTCCAACATGAAGGTAACATTGATAATGTACAAAATGAAGGTAACATTGATAATGTGCAACAAGAAGGTAACATTGATAATGTACAGCATGAAGGTAACATTGATAATGTGCAACAAGAAGGTAACATTGATAATGTGCAAAAAGAAGGTAACATTGATAATGTACAACATGAAGGTAACATTGATAATGTGCAACAAGAAGGTAACATTGATAATGTACAACATGAAGGTAACATTGATAATGTACAATATGAAGTTAACATTGATAATGTGCAACAAGAAGGTAACATTGATAATGTACAGCATGATTGATAATGTGCAACAAGAAGGTAACATTGATAATGTACGGCATGAAGGTAACATTGATAATGTGCAACAAAAAGGTAACATTGATAATTTGCAACAAGAAGGTAACGTTGATAATGCGCAACAAGAAGGTAACATTGATAATGAACAACATGAAAGTAACATTGATAATGTGCAACAAGAAGGTAACATTAATAATGTACAACATGAAAGTAACATTGATAATGTGCAACAAGAAGGTAACATTAATAATGTACAACATGAAAGTAACATTGATAATGTGCAACAAGAAGGTAACATTGATAATGTACAACATGAAAGTAACATTGATAATGTGCGACAAGAAGGTAACATTGATAATGTACAACATGAAAGTAACATTGCTAATGTGCAACAAGAAGGTAACATTGATAATTTGCAACAAGAAGGTAACATTGATAATGTACAACATGAAAGTAACATTGATAATGTGCAACAAGAAGGTAACATTGATAATGTACAACATGAAAGTAACATTGATAATGTGCAACAAGAAGGTAACATTAATAATGTACAACATGAAAGTAACATTGATAATGTGCAACAAGAAGGTAACATTGATAATGTGCAACAAGAAGGTAACATTGATAATATACAACATGAAAGTAACATTGATAATGTGCAACAAGAAGGTAACATTGATAATATACAACATGAAAGTAACATTGATAATGTGCAACAAGAAGGTAACATTGATAATGTGCAACAAGAAGGTAACATTGATAATGTGCAACAATAAGGTAACATTGATAATATACAATAACAAGGTAACATGCGTGCACCAGGAACCGCCGCATGAGTCTGGAATATCTAAGCGGCCCAAAGTTATGAAGTGGGGGAGCGGGCCTCAAAAAGTCACGCTAAGGTTCTAGGTGTACAGCAAGAAGATAATGGAGATGATTTAAAAATTTAAATTAAAAAAAAAAAACACGAAATAATTGTCTATTAGAATATAGATATAGAAAAAAATAACTAAAATACGGAGAATAAAAATTAGGGGGNGGGGGGGGGGGGGGAGAGGTTGAGAGAGAGCAGAGAGAGAGAGAGAGAGAGAGAGAATCCGGGGCATGAGAGGAAGGCCGTGTTGTCAGTAATTAGTCTGCAAGAAGCATCTCGAGTGACCAAGGGGAGTAATCGGGCGAGCAGAGAGCATACAGCATGGGCGGTGATTCTAAAACTGGACGTCGTTTTAACTTTTAAAAGTTTTCCACGAAGCCTAGTCACGTGTGAAAACAGGCACATTGCTGTGAATGGTCTCCCCCTCGTATCACTGGCCAGCCATTCTACTACAGCGTGTGGTGGGTGGTGTCTCCTTTCGCTGGGTGTCACATTAGTTTACCTCGAGGCGAGTTTTTGTTGTGGGGTGAATTTCCATCTTGACACCGACTAGAGGAACTTCTTGGAGACGACCGTGGCTTAGTTCGCTCCATCAAATTTTTAAATTTAATTTTAAACAAGTAAAGATTTTAATACATTAAAAAAAATCAATTAATTTTGATTAAGATGAGAGTGTCAATTTACTGTCTACACGAGGTTGCGTTGTCGTTTAAGACACTCTGTTTAAACGAAAATAAAGTAGCCTAATAGGCTACTTATGCCTTTTGCCGCGTCTGGGGCATAGGCCGTCTACAAGAATTTTTCATTCATCTCGGTCCTGTACTTTTATTTCCAGTTGCTTCCAGGTGTATCGCATACTTTTTAATTCTACCAATAGCTCGCGTCTACATCTATTTTTACACCTTCCCCTCTCTCTTTTTCCCTGTGGATTCCCTGTTAGGGATTGTCTGGTAATGTTATCTAGGGTTTTTCGAAATGTGACCTATCCACCTCCAGCTTTTCCTTATGATATCTTCATCAGTAGGCTCCTTGTATGTCCTTTCCAGTAATTCTTTGTTGATGATGGTGTTTGACCGTTTGATGTTCAGGATCTTTCTAAGCCAAGTGTTTCTGAAGGTCTGGCGAATACTAAGCAGAACGCACAAGAAATAGTGATAGTGTCACCATTTTTTAAATTTTCACTGACATCATAGGTTATAAGGAACTTAAATATTCTCCTAATGTTGATATTTCCCTTTCTAGACTAAGTTTTGAACCACATTTTTGCTCTTCAGCTCTGTGGCCTTGACAAACTAGATTATAAACAGTACGATGTGTTTACTAAGCCAACGCAAACTATAAACATTTATTTAAGATTCATTTAATTAATTGTTTCCCCCATTGTATAAGTATACACACACATACATACACACACAAAGAGAGAGAGAGAGAGAGAGAGAGAGAGAGAGCGAGAGAAAGAGAGAGAGAGAGAGAGAGAAGTTGAAAGATATTTTAATGAATTTAAAAAAAACCCACTCTCACACAAAACAAGTGCTCCTCATAACGGCCACTTTATTAAAATATATACATATTTTTTATTATAACAAACATTTCGAGGTGAAATAATTCCCATTTCAGACCGACATGGCATTTCAAAATGAAAATCTGTTTGCGTTTATAGTTATGAAAACTTTTTGCAAAGAAATACAACGAAATTCGTGGTGCTGTGTAGTTTGGTTAGTAGACGGACATTCAATACCACGTTAGCCGCTGTTTTCAGTTTAAAGTAGTTGGAACTAAATTTTAAAAGAGAAAATGTGTTATGAAAAAAAAAAATAGGATTTGCTAACCTCAAACCTCTTTGTTCCATGCAGAAAGATATGCAGAAAATAATATGAA